GCAGTTTTGGGCTTTGGTGAGTCGTTTTTTTATAATTGCAGTTTTGGGCTTTGGTGAGTCGTTTTTTTATAATTGCAGTTTTGGGCTTTGGTGAGGCGTTTTTTTATAATTGCAGTTTTGGGCTTTGGTGAGTCGTTTTTTATAATTGCAGTTTTTGATGTATAATATCTTGCATTGAATAGATTAGTAAGAAAGTTCTGTACTAAATAAAAAAGAAATGGTTAACATTAGTGGTACAGGACCCCTACATACACACACACACACTTTTCAGTGTGTCCCAGTAAACATGCATCAAAATTAGGAGGAAACCCTCGAGAAAAGCAGGAGAACGCATAAAATTTAATTCAGAACCCAAGAGCTTCTAGGGTCCTAAGGCGCGCCCTGGACCCCAGCCGTAATGGGTCTGCTTGAGGCGCACATTCCATCGTTTCGCTCGGTCAAATAAACCTCAGCCCCCCACTTTTAACTTGCTTCCTATACCCCATGATTCCTTATATGTAGACCTATACATTTTAAAAGTAATAGTAGTATAATAATTATCAATGAGGAACATAACTTGCCAAATGCATTTGTTATTGATATTTTAAAGAGGGTTTCCTCTGAAACCAAAGTTGCGTTTTATCAGACAGTGGCTGTTTTAATAAAATATGTTGATAAAACAGCCATGCTCTATCCTGATTAATAATGTTAGACGATACATTTTAAATATATATGGTATAATTAATTATAGCCTATATATATTTTAGGACCCCCTAAAGCCCTCGCGTTAATCCGGCCCTGAGTACATAATATGGCACAAGTGCATAGTTCTGTTTTGTTAATATTTTTTACTGTACAGACAGTGCCGGATTTGGAGAGGGTGCAACCCATGCAAGTTTATGGGGACCTCAAACCCCAAAGAAGGGGGCACCAACTTTGAATCACCCTAGGAAGGGGACCTCCAGTATTGGATGAGAGTCCTCAAAGGGTCAAAATTCAGCATTGTATACTGATTAAATTTTATTAATTTTTTTTTAGAATACATTTCACAATAGGGTTATCACATTGAATGTGTTTGAAACTAAGTGGTAAACTCAAGAAACGAACGTATTTCTTTTTCAACTGTATAACGAAAATTCTCCCTTAACAGTTTATTTTGGTGTTCCTTGATTTATGAAATATACTAGAATATGATTTTTAATCTTATTATAGCACCTTTTTTTTTCTCGCCAGGGGGCGTGTCAGGTGGTTATAAGCAGCACTGACCAACCCTTCAAGAGGCTCGACCATTATAAAGTACATGAGTACGCGATTAAGGAAAATTCAACCCTGGATTACAATTCTGTGGAGTACTCTACGGCAGTTGACGGAACTTTCCGACGGAAACGTGGACGACCTCCAAAGAACAGAATCGTAGAGGTACAGTATTAAATTAATCGTAATGACAATTAGGTGGATAAAGTAGACATTTCAATTATTTCAGAAATTCAAAATAATTAACGATAATCTTGAAAACTCAGCATAGAAACCCGTGATCGATATCATGCTGAAACGCCGAAAATTCCTGCGCCTATGGACCCTAGTCCCTAATCTTTTAAGGACCTAGCGACGCATCTGGTCAAAAGTGCTGATTTGCACGTGCTGTATTATTGCAAAAAGGCAAAAACATACGATATTTTGATATTTATTTATGGCAAAGCAAGCCTATTAAAGCTGTTTTCCGCCGTTCTTAATTTTGAACTACATATCAAAGAGAGAGACAGCCAATCAACAGCACCGTATCACCAACCATTCATTCTAAGGGTGTCTGTATGATACGCTTAGCCCAAAGTCACACGCTATGCTTTGTCCGTCGCGGAAAATCGAACCCTGGATCTTAACGTTAAGAGTCGGTTAACTTACCGTTGACCCAATTGGTGGGGGTCCGTGGAATTTAATTTTATTCTTACATTACACTCACAGCTTAAAGCGTGTACGTAGGGGGGGGGGGGGTATTGCATGGTTTCGAGCCTAGCTCGCCAATTGGCGTTGTTTAATGATTTTAAGAATTTATAGGTACGAAGGTATAATATCATCCCCAATATCTTACTTATTTAAATTTTAATGGGTTATTTCTATAGAAAAAGAGTTTTCCTATTACACTAAGTTACAACTTGCAGCGGTTGAAGGGAGAGCAGTTACTTCCTAAATGTAGCACTGATTATTATATTTATAACCTTGTCCATTAGGGTAAATTATAACCTTAAGCTTATGTCATACAATAAGTTTTCAAGTAAAGGGAATCCTATTTACTTATCTATAGAAATGACATTTAAAATCCATCTTAAGGTGTTAAAATTCAGACTGGGCGAGATTCGAACCCAAATAAAGAAAAGTCGCAGATTCGAATCCCTTACCCTAAATTTCACTTTTCCAAATTAATCGGTCTGTCTGATTATCATTTAGTAGAAAACTGACATGAGAACGTTTTAAACATTTTACTAACTATTCATCATAACAATTTGGCTATTGTAAACACGTTAATTCTCCATATTTGTTAGTTTTGCATTCCGTAGGTTTTTTTTTTTCCTAGGACAGAATACTGTAATTACATTATATCGGATATAGTGTGGTTGAAATATTATTATGTACTCGTATTCTCAGAAAAACCTAAAGGACCAAATAACGAATATGTTGTTAAAAAATACAATAATCATAATTCTACTGACTTGTCCATATAAATATAATAGTATTGTCTGTTGTATATCCATGTAACTACTTCGTAGGGTGTAGATGGATCTTCATCTTCACCAAATTTGTTACGGAGGTTTATTTGGTCCATGGGGAGATACATATATTTTTTTCAGTTTTGCGTTTTACACCACTACTTTGCCCCCTGTTGATGGATCTTTACCAAATTTGGCATGAAGGTTTGTTGGGTTCATGCGGAGACACATGCAAACTTGCGATTTCACATTGTTTTGCATTTTTTATGGGCGTTTTATTTTTTACAATTACATGTGAAGGAAGCAACATTTCATCTCCTAAGATAACCTTTAATTAATCATGAATTTAGATAATTTCCGTCCAGGGGACGGATACCCCAGGTATTTGTTAAATATAATTGAATATCGTGAGTTTTTTGAAGTGTTAATTTATCGATATATTTTTGAAATCATCAAAAATTAGAACTTTTTGAAACGAAGATTGAATTTATGCCGAATACTTAATTCTTATATACTGTATAACTAGTAGGTGTAATTGATATATTGTAGTGTAATAGTTTTGTTTTTTCTCTACAGTTTCCTGTACTTTCTACTCCATCTAACCTTCCTCAAGCTATATATACTAGCTTCAAACTCCCGAAACCCACTACTCTCCCTCAACAAACCTTTATGGCAACATCCTTTGGGCCAAATCCATCACATTTCACTCTTGCCCATCCTCCCCCACCTCTTTTAATGACACGACCCCTTTCTCTGATTGCTTCTACTGTGTCTCCAAGTGATCAGTATTCTTCATCAGTGGGTACCTCAACTCCCACGTCGCCAATAGAGGAGGGAAGTTGTACAGTGGGAGGTTTACCAGTTTTAGAATCTTCTGTTGATCACGATAGTCAGTCTTCTTCAATTCAGCAACCAAATAAAATAACTTCTGAGTCTTCTTCAGCGTCGTTTGAGAAAGTGGTGAGTGAAACGGTTTAAAAAAAGAAAGTTGAATTATCTCAATGTTTAAATCAAAATAACGATTATTAATATACGTTGTTAAAATACATAATGTGATGTTATGTAATCTTTTCCCTAATTCGGATGTATTGTGTGTATATAAAGTTGATGGGAAAATTACACTTTGCCAACTTGATCCAGTTCACACCTTAACAGTTACTGTCAAGCAATTTGCTAATATAGAGAGCGCCTCAATCACTATTATGTCTGTCATATCCCAGTTGGCCTGAATAATCCTAGCATTAAGCAAACGGCCTCATCGGCATCGGATATAGCAGGTATTGCGTGGATTTTTGTAAAAAAAGATGGATCTGGGACGGAGAGGTTTTTTTTTTTTTAAACTAACCTGAATGTTACTTCTGTTTTATCAAACTTTATTGTTAATGAAGTTGGTTTATTTATTAACGTTTCACCATCATTTTGATTTTTCGTACGTGGTGTTTTTAATTTTGGAGGAAGAAATTAGCCAAATCAATTCTGTATGCATATAGTTTAACCATATCACGTTTGTTTGTTGCTAAGACAAAGCTACGCAAGGGGCTATCTGTGTTCTGTCCTCCGCAGGTATCAAAACCCGATTTTCATGCCATAAGCTCTTAGACTTAACGCTGAGCTACAGGAAGACAACCATATAAATATTGTTCAGTCAAATATGAAACAAAAAAGCAAACCAGTTCTAATTATAATTTTTTTTTAAAAACATAGAAATGAAATCTGTTATAACTGTATCTAAAAAAGGAAGTTTCTTTGAATCCACGCTAGAGTCTGTTAATGTTTTAGTATACGTCTACCACCAGGGGAAAAAAGTGAGTTAAAAAAATCATTATTATTTTGTTAGACGTTAAACCCTTCGCTATTGTTCATACATTTGTCACAGTGGAAGACTATGACATTTAACGCTCTTCTAACATTTTCACTTTTCCAGATGAGAACACTTTTTTTTCCGTAGAAGTTGTTTAAGTTAAAGTATCTAAATTATGTGGTTATGGAATATGTAAACGGGAAATTGTTTTCACTAAATTTCTGAATAATTTGGGACACCATTATGATGGATGTTTTTGAGTATTTTGGATTTGTTATCCTTTAATTGCCTACAAGTCAGTCAAGTATTCAGAATATTAAACTTTTAATTGTGAGAAGAAGAAAAACATTTATAATAATGTGTTTGCAACTTGTGTCAAAATATAAACATTTAAAAATATATTTCTTTCCCTATCGACTATATTTTAAGATGCTATTTTACACAAGCGGAAGAAGGACTTAGATACGTAGTCACTGATTATTTTGTTTCTAAGCAAGCGAGATAACAATTTTTAAACGTTTTTGCAAATGAAACTAAGTTACTAAAAACAGTCACAACATCTATCTCTGGTGTGTTTTTTTTTTCAGGACGGGTTTTACGTGTTTCCCAAGAATACATCATGCCCTGACCACTTATGCCCTTACCTTGGAAGTCATCATTTTCACTGTACCCAGCTTCGATGTTTTTACGTCACAGACCGAAGCGACATCCTTTTACTCCATTCCAAAGACTTTCATGATAACATTGATATAATGGAAGGATTTATGTTCTTTGATCGTTATGTTGATTGCCGTTTGCCAAATTGCCAAAGCAACAAAGTTAATCGTCATTTTCACTGTGCGCGCCCAGGATGCAACTATTCGTTTGTGCGTTACAGCACCATGAGTATTCACGAGCAGAAGCATCGCGATAAAGATGGCGACGACCCAGAAGCCAGTCAATTGAGGAATAAGCCGTCAAACAGCGATGAAGAAAGGTCACCGAGTCCTAAAGTGACATCTTCAATGACAACAATCACCAGCGAAGCTGCCATATGCTCTACAACAGGGAACTCGGAACCCAAAACGACGGTGGTCAAGGCCACTGGAACTTATTATCCTTTGTCCGCCATTTCGAAAAAATCTGAATCAAACCAGAAAAGTACAGCTGGGTTGCCAGTGCTTCCCGAAGATACTTTTAGCTCTGATTCGGAGGACCAAATACCTGTAACCTCTCTTACATCGGGTGAGATTGAGCAGCCATTGACCAAACTTCTTCAACTCCCAAGCCTTAACATGAAAAACACTTTCGAAGGAATAGAAAAACACATCCAATATGGACCTTCACAGAGCTGTGGTCGTCCTTTCTGCAAGCTGAAGAAGAAAGATCACTTTCATTGCAATGTTTGTAACCAGGTATAGACTTCTCGCAACTCAAATGGAGTTGATTTTGTATCCTTAATAGTCTCTATCACCAGAAATTGTGATAACCAAGTAGTATAGGTTTCTAACTTGACTGTTCAAGAAATATTCAAATAGTAACCTCTGTTCTTCAATTTTTGTTTGATTAAGATTGTACTTTGAGCCTTACTTGCTTTTGTTTTGAATAGATAAAACTATTTCTTCACATTGGATAAATTAACAATTATGAAAGTAACAAATTTAGATATAAAACTTGAGAGAAACAACAATCTGAGTTATAAATAGTATTTATTTTAAACTCTAATCTTTCCCAAGTTTTATTAACTAGAAAAGTGCCACGTAGTGACAAAATATCTAAGTAATACATTATGTTTAATTTTATCTGCACATAACAACATTCCAAAAACTTAAAAACAAAGTTGGAAAACTACAGATTTTAAATTACTGATTGTAATGAAGAACTTTTCTTTGTTCATTCCAGGCTTTCTCTAGTTTTTCACGATTAAAACCACACACAACCAAGCATGTTGGGGGCCCAATTCCGGTTCCAGTCTATAATTCTGGTCAGTTAAGTCCAACAACTTCTACTCATTCTTCACCAGCTTCTGCTCAACAAGGTGATGAAGAGGTTGGCAGTGAAGGCGAGGACCACGATCCTGGTACAGACCAACATTTGAAAAACAATCCTGACGTAGACAGTGATAATAAAGCTAATGTTGACACGAGTCAATCGACTCAAGTGTCCGAAGTATCTTCCATGCCTCAGTTACTTCCATGGCAACCATTCTCTCTAACCACCGTTTCTGGTCATCAGCTCTTAATCCCGCAAGGAATGCCTCCGCCAATCTTTGCAGTGCATGGAGGAGCAACTTTTAATCATCAGATGGCGCTGGCTAACCAGTCTAAGTTTGCTGCGTCCAGCGAAAGCTTCTATGGTTCTCCACAGGTGGATTACAGTGCAATAAAGAAAAGAGAGTTAACTGAAGTGTCACGTGTGTCAAATCGTAAGCGTAGTAATTGTACGATCCCTAATGGTTCTAATTCTAAAAAGATGAGAATACCAAATTTACGTATTTTAAAGGATGAACCTGTTCCTGATGGGTATAATCGTTATCGTTTCAATGAGGATTGTGCTTACATTCACTGTGGATACCGAGAGCATCAAACTCACTTCCACTGTACTCGTGAATATTGTGGCTACAGTTTTTGTGATAAAACGAGGTTTGTCCAGCACACGGCACGTCATGAGCGGCTGGACACCTTAATGGGGGGCGATTTCGACCAGTATCGAGCAACTATTAATTGTGGTCGACCACACTGCATCTATATGAACTCAACGGGTGCAATGGTTAACAAGGCCTCTCATTTTCACTGCAAAAAATGTGACTTTGTTTGTACTGACACCAATAAAGTCGTCGCTCACCGAAGACAGCACATGAAGATGGATAGCATCAACGCTGCAGGGTTTGATAAGTACACCCCTTCTCAGGATTGTAATATGGATGGCTGCAACCATAACCGGAAACAGACCCATTACCACTGCCTGGAGTGCCAGTACGCCGTGTTAGGTCTGTCACAAATGTCAGCTCACAAATATCGACATATGGATTAAGTCGTTCGTTCCCTCGGGTTTATCATCATGGCTTTTGCATTTTGTTATTATTACAATAAAATGACACAGAAGCTAATTTTGAAGAAGGGGGGAAAGAGATGAAGACATCTGTCGTTGAAGCATAAAAAAATCAACGTAAATGAGAGAGTTTCTCCTTCTTTGACCGGTGGTCAAATGGTACTGAAATTAAATCGTGATTTTGTAACCTCCATTTAGGTGCCAAGAAAGTAGAGTAAGTATGTACGTGGGAACATTGATCTTTCAGAGCATCTGGTGACAGTAATTTAGAACCAGTGAGTTTGCCTTCACCTTTTAGGGAGCCTTTAGATATATTTTTTATAGACATCAAAATAGTGAGATGCGTGCGTTTGTCTTTTAGTGAGACCTATATAGCCATCCCTCTTCTAGGGCGTAGATGGTCAACAGGGTCTAGTTTTGTACAAAGTTTACAAAGTCGTGCTCAAAGCATACAGTGCATCATTACTTCTCTTTAGAATGGCATATTTTAGTCGTGATTACAGTCACTTATATAATTTTGTCGTATATTATATATATATATATATTTGGTTGGTTTCTCAACAGACCAAGTAATCTTAGTGCCGTTTTGTACTAGGCTTTATCTATTACATTTATTCTTGAAAGAACTCGAAAGCCACTTCATTACCAGTATAGTAGAAGTGAGTAACAGTTCCCTTTGATGACTCGTTTTATTTATCAAAGTTCCCTTTGAAACCTAGCCATTCCAGGAGGATCATAGTATTTAGTAGTTTTGTCCAACTTAGGTAGTCAGCAATACACCTGAGTGAAGAATTTAAACGCTGATTTTGAATTAATTTTAATGTTTTATTCTTGTGTTCTAGAAAAAAAAATCTTGGAAAGGTTTACTTTTCTTTTATGTCGAAGTTTTATTCTTTTTGCATGTAATTATAAAAAAAAACTCATCCACAATAATTGCTTCTTTTATTTTTAAACAGTGGTAATTAGGTCGTTGTGACAAGAATTCTTCCCGCCATTAATAGTACATTGGAACTTAAGGGCTACGGAAGACTATAGTAAGGTGATATGTTTTTGTTTTGTCACGAAAAAAAATTGTCATTGGTGGGTTTCGGAAACAAAAAGTTTTAGCATAAGCTGAAACGCCATCTATATCTAACTGTACTACCAAGCTGTCGCTTACGATAAAAACAACCTCAGTGTATATAAATATTTTTTAATGTGTGTTTTATCTTCGAAACTATTTGTTGTGATTGAAGAACGTCACAGGAGTTCGTGGTGTGAGTAGCCCGGTGGTCTTTAAGTCTTTTAACTGCTTGTTATAAAGGAATTTTTATAGTATCCTTAATTTTATTCTTGTCATCTGAGAAAAAAAGCATGTATTCACTAACCTTTAATTGGATAGTTTCAGGAGTTGTTATGGCGTCTTATAAAATGTTCATGTCTAACATTCATGCGTTTAACACAACTTTATGTAATTACACACACCTGAAACTGTATCGCACGTTTCACGTAATTACATACATGTGAAACTGTATTGAATGTTCCTTGTGTAATTGCATACAATGCCACTATATCGCATATGTTTAATTTATCGGAAGAGTATAGACTGGAAGTAAAAACTGGCCTAAAAGGATGTATTCGCAGCTAATAGAAGTAGCGATAACTTTATACTTATATTCTTACCTACCCGTGTAATGCAAGTTAACACATCTATTTTTGAAGATAAATTTTATAAGTTACTTTCAGTTTATGTTCATTATAATGTTAATCGTTCGAACTAAGTTAAGACACTTGTGCCAAAAATCACTCTGAGTATGTTTGGTTGTTTTTAACGCAAAGCTATATGGTTAGCTGTCTGTGCTTTCCAGATTTTGGCATTGTAAGCCCTTAAAGTTACCGCTGACCCACCTGGGAGTACTGAGTAACGTTTCGGATTAATGCACAGCAACTATTCTGAAGTAATGAAATGTTTTTATTTAAAAGCTTTTGTTTTTGTTGTTAAACGCAAAGGTATACAATGGGTTATCTGTGATGTGCCCATCACGGGTATCAAAATCCGATGTTTAGCGTTATAAGCACTCAGATTTACCGCTGAGTCACCAGGTGTGGAGTTATATAAAGGCCTTCTATCGCGTCCTTCCCATAATGTATTTTTTATTTGTTAATAATTCTTTTGAAGTTTTGAAATAATTTTTAACCCTTGTTTTTGTTTTCTAAAATTAGAAACGTTTATTTCAAAAACAGAAAATCCTATTCGATTTATTGATAAATTACATGTGACAAAATGTTAACGAAATTAATTTCGATATCCACTTTGCCATCTTGACATGATTCTTTTGTATGCAGTGGTTATCGCAGGCAACACCCACACAACTGAAACTCAGTAAATATAAAGTAGGCTTATCTATCGTTAGGCTTCCGTGTACTTACTGTTGCGCCATGCTCTTTGGTGTTCCACAGATTAATGAATTTGTATTGTTCAATACATTGTTTCCCGAGAAAGGCTCCGGTATCAGGTCCAAAACTCGCAAATAAAAGAAGATTATTTTAACGTAAAGAAACTTAGGTGTATAATTCTACAAATTCTGTAAATACAACGTTAGGCTTCCGCGTACTCACCGTTTAAGCGCGCTTTTTCGGTACTTTATCCAAATGACACTGTTTGTGAACTTCAAACTCTGAAGTGATTATTACATTTTGTTAACTAATGTAAATGTTAAAACAAAGGTGGTGTCTTAAGTTCGCTAATCCTCGTTTTCTTAATGTCAAGATATAAACCGTAAAGTTGAGTAACTGACACGTTTTACCAAACACAGTGACCACTTTTATACACGCCACCCACCCACATCTAGACACTAATGAATAGTAGTTGTAAGATAATTTGTCACGAACGTCGGTGTTACGAGAAGACTGGTTCGTCAGTTCTTGTGAATGATAATAAAGTTAATTCAAATAAAATACTAATATAAATAAATAATTAGTGTTAAAATGAAAGAAATAACGTGATTAACTCGTACCTTATAAATCCGATTTCTGACTTAAATATAATTGGTAATAATTAGAATTCATTTGCTTAATCTGATACTATGACCCGTTATTGTTCTCTTTGAATTATGATATTTGCGCGAAAGGCCACGTCGGCACTTTATATGGCAAATGTAGTGCAGTGGTTTCCAAACTCTTTTAGTCTGAGGCTCCCTTGATGCGAATAAAAGTTTGAGCCCCCCCCCCCCCCAACCTATAACTTTAACATGCTGATTGAAAAACAGTGCCGTAATAAAAATGATAACATCTCCTTTAAAGATACTATATCATTTAATTAATGAAACATAATTTTTATTGGCTTATTGCTTATTTAGAATTATAATTAATTCAGTATCATTGTTTTCGGACCCCAGAAAAAGTTTCACGGCTCCCACATTGGGAAACACTGATGTCGTGTGGTTAACTTATTTAAAATATTCTCCTCTGCTTTCACTCATGGCTTCTTAGAATTAGCTGTTTGATGCCGAATAGTGATGGTTTGTCAGACAAACGAAAGAATGACACACATGTATTTGGGCTATAGCTAACAATATCTTATATTAAGTTAAGGAACAAAATTACTTTTTTCGAGAATGACTGACTGGCTTTCCTCTAGAAAAATATACTAATTTGCCAGTTTATAGTATTTTAGCTTAATTTTAACCACGAACATTAATGATTAGTATAAAAATGTGAGACAATTTTACCAATATTTCACCACTTTTTTTTTATTTTACATATTCACTGCTAAGATTTGAACCATAATTAATTTAGTAAATATTTCGTACTGTAGGTTATAGTTAATACTTTATAGCGTTCGAACAAGTTCCTAAAAAAATTAACTGAAAAAAATTATATTTATATTATACTTACAACGCTAAAAATTTGGATTTCAGTTCCTCCAACGGACAGAACCTACATAACCCATCGTGTAGCTTTACGTTACAACAGCAACTAATATCGGATTAAAAAATAAGTATGATAAAGTATTAAAACAAATATTAGTATTTTTTTCCTGAATATTTTATCTACTTTTCTTTTCTGGTAGCCTTCTATTTATCATTAGTTTTCATATAACTTTCAAATACGTATTTTTATTCCAGTGAATATAAATATACGTTTTGTGATTTTTCTCTCTTCAAGTTAACAATGATGTGATAACATTTTGATTGTTTCAATATGCCTTAGATTTAACACATAAATCAACAGATATATTTTGAATTACATGGAAATGTTTAGATACAGTTATAACTTTCGTTATTATTGCAGTGTTCTTTTTACGTGAATATTAATTAGCTTTTGTGAATTTATAGTTATATTACGTGCATAGTCTAACGTGATTTTTATCACAAATATTATGCTTATTGATTACATTGCTTCGCTAGCTTTTGGCTTTGCATTTCATACTATCCATATTTCGTTTAAGCTGTGTGGATCATTTTCTTTTGCTCTCTCATCAAATCTTTATCTTTATACTGTGATACACAAATTAATATGATTTTATTTATAGATGTTCCCTTATAAAATCTATGACAGAATGCCAGTTTGAATCGTACGTAAATTGTTGCTATCAACAAATGTTTCCTTTATTTTAGTGTTTCAGGTTTTAGCGTGAATTGTAGTATTTATTTTAATAATAAATAGTTTCCTAGGAATAATTCTTATCACTGTCGTTTACTTGACAGCGATAACTCAAATCGAAAACGTGGAAAGAAATGTGTAGCTGTGTGAAACTCAAAGTTATATATTTCAAGGCTGTTTAAAACTCAAAATAACTGGTATATTTCAAGTAAAGTATTCCTGTTATTGTAGTTTGACCTTAGGGCCACTTCCACATAAGTGCCTCAGAGAAGCAAAATCTTTGAAAGCAGATTAAAATTAATCAAGTTCGTTCTCCATGTTCTTCGGATTATGAAATTTGTATTCTCTAGTAGGGAAACAAAAGGTATATCAGAAGTGTTATAGTTTTCATAAACAGCGAAGAAGTCAATTGATAATACATTAGTCTGTGTTATAAACCTTTTAATAATCAATGAATTGTATATTTAAGTAAAAAAAAATCGCCTAAAATTCCGTGCCTTAGCTATTTTACAATTTTTTATTCTTAGTTTGTTCTCGGGATAATATAAAAATATATTTCAACATTGATTCATGCATTGGCAGTATTGTTATAATTAGCATCCAAGCTGATCTTAAAATGTTCAGCCTATTGATAGTAGCATTCCATCTAATGATATAAGCTCAAAAAAAACAAAATTATTCGTATTTCTGACTAGCCTGTAATGTGTTGTGAAAAACATAGCAATAATAAGAATTATACATTTTCAAAGCTCCCTTTCCAAACTTGGGATAGGTGATAGGAACAAGAACATTGTAGTTCCCACTTTCCATATTGATTGAGGTAACGAAATAATCAACCATGCATTACTTCCAAACTTTTAATGAAGTGTTCTGTTATTTCCTGTCTGTAATATTGTGATCTTACCACGTCTTCTTATGGTAGTCTATGCAAATAATAATAAACTTTTGAATATTTGTGTCCTGTCATTAATTTTAAGTAAGATAAGATTATTTAATTTAAAAAAAGGTGGTTTTCACCCACAAAACTGAAATTATATTCTAAACAGTTTTTAACGAAAATAAAGTAGGAAATATTTTTATGTGTGCCTAATGACATCTTTCAATTAAATGATTAAATAATGAGTTTATTAGGTCGCATTGTTAAAGATTAACATTTTGGTGGAATATTCTTTCCACAAGGAAAATTCTAACAGAACAAACTTTACCACTTATATAATTCTTTACCATACCAGAAATTGATATAAATCCAGCTAGCAACCCCTACGTGCATATTCGTAA